ACGTGACTGAGGATGGCATCGCAACCTCCCGATCTGCCCTGCTCTGTGCATGACAGGGGGCGGCGCCCCAACTCCCCAATCGGTCCTGCTCTGAGCCTGACCAGGGGCTGCACCTAGGGATTGGGCCTGCCCTCTGCCACCCGGGGGCAGGCCTAAACCAGCAGGTCGTTATCTCCAAAGGGGTCCCAGACTGCGAGAGGGCACAGGCCGAGCTGAGGGACCGCCCCCCCTCCCCCTGAGTGCACAAATTTTTGTACACCGGGCCTCTAGTATATAGATAAAAATGGATGCTCCTGTTTGTGTATACATGAGAGATGCTGAAGAAACCACTAAACAAGTAAAAAATAAAACACTTGCACCACTAGCCTAAGTAGTCCTATCCCATCTTTCCCCTTTCGTCTCCTACTCTTCCCACCGAGTCTCAGGTCAGTATCCCTTCCCCCGTGCCCAAAGCACTCTGGGCATCTCAGTCTCAGATGCTGTCTGGCTGCCTGTGGTTCTTTGTTACCAGACTAAATTTCTCAAGAGGAGAACCTGTATCATAGCATTTCTCTGGCACTGATAAAAATCCTACCACATAAGTGAGTTGCAACAAATGCTTTGCAAAATAAAAGGAAGAATGAGGCAGGAAGCCATCATCCAGAGTGAGGGTGCCCGTGGAATTCATTACCCTCCCTCCCGTCGGCAGTAACTGGGTGTAGCCATCCTGGGGAGAGCGAGCACTGCCAAAGGACTAGTGACAGGAAGTTTCTTTCCATAAAAAAGTTTTAGAGTGCATCAAGATACCCAGCCGGAACCTGACCAGTGACAAATAGAAAACAGTAAGACCTACCGAAATGGCTTTTCTCCTGTATGGGTTCGAATGTGCTTCCTCAGATCGCTGAGTGTGGTGAAGTACTTGCTGCAGCCTTCAGATTCACAGTTAAACGTTTTCCCTGTGTGAAGCCTCTGATGTGCTTTCAGCCTGTAAGATAGCCCAGAGAAAGGCCCTTTGTCATGATGTATTACAGAGCCTCCCACACAGCTAACAGCCTCCAGGGTCAAGTGCACAAGCCTACGGCAAGTAAGATCTTTTATGAGAGAAGTAATTTCATTTACGGCTAAGTAAATACTGAATACTGATTTAATAAAAAATAATACATACTGGAAATAAAATAATAACATTGGGAGAATGGGCTTTGGGGAAGGGCCAAATGTGATGGAGATGGCGGCAGGGGAGAGGGGAAGAAATAGAGCTTAATCCTTAACTTCCATAGTGGGAAGTCAATATCCTAAAGTGGAAAAATCAAGAAGGAGCAATATGAGCCAAATATTTAAAAGCATGGAAGTGAATATAAAAATATTAATATAGCCCTAATCGGTTTGGCTCAGCGGATAGAGCGTCGGCCTGTGGACTCAAGGGTCCCAGGTTCGATTCTGGTCAAAGGCATGTGCCTTGGTTGTGGGCATATCCCCAGTAGGGGGCGTGCAAGAGGCAACTGATCGATGTTTCTCTCTCATCGATGTTTCTAACTCTCTATCCCTCTCCCCTCCTCTCTGTAAAAAAATCAACAAAATATATTTTATAAAAAAGATATAATCACATAAAATACATATATATATATTTAAAAAAATAAAAAAATATTAATATTAAGCTAAAAGAGTAGAAAGTGGTTGCTGTGAAGGGGGAGAAATGGGGAGGTACATCTTTTGTAACGAACCTATTAGAGCTTTCTAGTTTGTAAACATTGAGAATGTATAACCTGATAAGATTAAAAATGTTTTTTTTCATTGCTTAAAGTATTACAAAGAGTATTGCATATGTTTCCTTTTTTTAAAAAAAATGTTTTTAAAATAGTAAAAAAAGGATTAAGTGCATCAGAATTCTATATTCCAAAACGTTTTGCTCAATGAGAAGTATATAGCATAGTGGTATGAGCGTGACTCTGGAGCCTGGGACTCAAATCCTGGTCCCACCTCCTACGAGACCCTAAGCCAGTTAGTTACCTTGGTGGGCTTCCATTTACTTATTAGTGCTGTGAGGATTAGCACTCAGAACAGTGCCCTGCACACAGTGGGCGCCTTAGAAATGTCAGCTCTTGTTATGTTTGTTATTTACACTCAATGTTGAAGACTAGTAGGTCTCCTGATACCAATGGTGGGAAAGGGAAAGGGCTAACAAGCGGACCACTCCCCATGTCTCAGGCTAGACAGAAAGTACGCTTCCTCCAAGTGAGAGAGGAATGAAAATGACAGAAGCCTTCGTACCAAGGTTCTGAGCCAAGGGAGATAGCACTCTATGCCAAATACTCAAATCTCTGGGCCAGGATGGCACTACAGGAGAAATAAAATCTAAACACAAATGTACCATCCTTTTCAGGCAACCTTTAAATCCCGGCAAGGGAAGTCTGCTGTGCGAGGAGAGCTGTGCAATGGTGACAGCGAGGGTAGAGCTGGCGGGAGGAAAGCTGACCTGTACAGCGTGTTGAACGCCTTCTCACAGCCCTGCACGTCACACTCAAATGGCTTCTCCTTCGTGTGCACTCGCACGTGGATCCTGAGGCTGTAGGAGGTGAGGAAGGCCTTGCCGCAGCCCTCCTGGTTACAGACAAAGGTGTACTCTCCTCGGTGAGTCTTCTGGTGGGTGCGCAGGTTGCCTGCTGTGCTGTAGGTGCGGGGACAGCCCTCGAAGGTGCACTGGTACCGCTTTACCTGGCAGACAGAGGACACCTCAGCAACAGGACAAAAGAGCTGCCCAGGCTCTAGCTGCCCCCCGAGCTTGGCTCCCAGATGTGGATGACACAGAAACACAGAAAATAGCCTCTAACAACAAAGTGGGGCTATTTTCCTGTTGATCAAATCACTCCTGGACAAAAGACAATGAGTAACGGGGAACAGATTGCTTGTAGAGAGGTGACGATTCTAAGTGAATATAAGAAGGGTGCTGCACGCTTTAGTATACATCTACCCTCTAAAGGTGGGCATACGCTCTTACAGTTACCCATATTCAAATTTGGCCCTAGCCGGTTTGGCTCAGTAGGTAGAGCGTCAGCTCGCAGACTGAAGGGTCCTGGGTTTGATTCGGGTCAAGGGCATGTACGTTGGTTGCAGGCTCTATCCCCAGCCCTGGTCTGAGCGCATTCAGGAGGCAACCAATCCATGTGTCTCTCTCACTTTAATGTTTCTCTCTCTGTCTCTCTCCCGCCCTTCCACTCTCTAAAAATCAATGGAAAATTGTCCTCGGATGAGGATTAACAAAACAAAACAAAAAACAAAATTTTACTTCAGGTTAAGTCAAACATCCTGTCCTATGGCACTATATCTTGATTGGAACTGACCAATGTTAAATTGAGTCTAAAACATCCTAAAATTTACATATTCAGCTATACGCATATTAGCAGGTACATACTAGCATAGTTGCCACTGAATATTTTCAACTCTACAAAATGAAAACAATGTATCATGAATTTCTCAGAGCCTGACATTTATCAAACTGCTAGAGATGCTGGATTTCCTTTTACCACCAAACTCTTTGAAAGAGTAGTTTTCCCTTGTGCCTTCTTCACTTCCCGCAATGCCCGTGTATTCCTGCTACCTGGCCAGCTGGCTTCGCTGTTATGAAAATACTCTCTTGAATTCCTGGGGCCAAACTCTTTATTCCCTCCCCACTTCCCTTCATTTGCAAAAAGATCTCAAGGCTGATGCCCTCTCCTGAAAATTTGTCCTATATCACACAGGAGTTCCTTGGGGCTCTCTTTATCCTCTGAGCCACTCCTTTCCTTTAACCTCTAAATGTAGATTTATTCCCAAAACCTGCCCCATCTCTACACTGGTGCAGCGGAAGCAGCATTCGACTTGGCGGGAGAAGACGGAATTCTGGCACTTATGTTCATGACTTTGAGCACCTCATTTCACTTCTCTGAGTTTCAGGTCCTTATTTCTAAAATGCGAACATTAATGCCTGCCCCGACTGTCTCAAGGTGCTTTTCTTTGAGTGGAACAAAAGACGGTAAAACATTTGTGAAAATACTCTGTAAATTCTCTGATGCCATACCTCGCAGGGTGCTAGTACTGTCTACTCTTCAGCTTTAGCAAAATCTTCATCCTTTGAACCTTCCTCCAAAGCCTCAGTTTATATTAGTGTCACTAACGACACTGGTGTTGCTCATTCAGCAGTTACTGAACTACTATGTCCCAACCAACAAGCTAGTTATCACACATGAGAAAAAGTAAGCAAGACCAAAATCTCTGCTTTTAAGAAATGCCCATTTTAAGGAGGCAGACGTGCACAAGTTATTATACACCAGGCTGAGCCTAACAACAGACACATGGTGCTGGGAGCATAAAAAAGGGAAAACTAACCCCTCTCAGAAAGAATGGAAATCAGTGAGGCTCAGAGACCAAGGTACTTACTCTCTCTGAACTGAGGGTGTCTTTTTGCTTGCCTGTTAAAAGTCTATTTTTTAAGGAACAAAGTGAAAAGGCCTTCCTCACACAAACCGGGAAGAAGGACATTCCAGAAAGAGGTAACTAACACCTTGGGAACTGCACGGAGAAATGAATGCGTTTTTTGGTACAGGGAACATCAAAAACTCTTACAGTAAGAGAAAGACCGGAAGGAGAAGACTCTAGAAAAAAGAGGCAAAGCCTCCTCAGTTAAGCTATGGAGTAGAGAAATGGGACAACGGGGAGCCTTCAACCGGTTTTAACGAATACAGCGAGACACCCAGATCTGGGGTTTAGGAGGGCATTCTGGGAATCTGTGGGGGACAGACTGGAGTAGAAGGGAAAGATAAGAGAAGAGGACAACAGTTCTGGAGAGAGATGAAAAGAATCTGAACTGGGGAAGTAACAGTGGACAATGTGAGAGATGAATTCTAGAGACATCAAAGGGGGAGAAATGACAGCCTCTAGGGCAGTGATGGCGAACCTTTTGAGCTCGGCGTGTCAGCATTTTGAAAAACCCTAACTTAACTCTGATGCTGTGTCACATATAGAAATTTTTTGATATTTGCAACCATAGTAAAACAAAGATGTATATTTTTGATATTTATTTTATATGTTTAAATGCCACTTAACAAAGAAAAATCAACCAAAAAAATGAGTTCATGTGTCACCTCTGACACGCGTGTCACAGGTTCGCCATCACTGCTCTAGTGACAACTGGGTGCTGAGGAGTCAAAGGGGTCAGGGAGAGGCAAAGTCAAGATCAAAGGCCTGGATGACCAAAGAGGTGGTCACACCACCAACTTGGGGCTGGATGGGAGCTGGGGGAGAGTTGAGGAGTTGGGGTTGAGGCACTGCCATGACTTCCAGATGGAAATGTCTAGTAGCCAGTCAGACATACAAGCTGGAAGCTAAGAAACAGGTCCGTGCAGGAGTCTGGTACACAGATAGTAGCCTACTTGACCGGCAAACTACAGCAGGCTCAGATCCAGCCCCTGCGGCTACTTACTGTACAACCTTGGGGAAATCACTTGAACTTACTGAGCTCACTTTCCTTAGTTATAACATGGAGGAAACAAAATCTATCTTTCTAGTGTTGTAAGGATTAGGTATAATTTGCAAAAGCATTTAAATATAGTGACTGCCTACAGTAGGTACTCAATAAAATAATAGCTCTTATAAGAGGACAAAGGCTAGACGGTGAAAGTCACCAATGTTTAAGGTAATGGTACCAGAAAAGAAGCCATTGAAGGGCGAGCGGGAGGAAGGGCTGGGGAAATAGGAAGAGAAGCAAAGGAGAGCAATGTCACAGAAGACAAAAGAGAAAGGGTCTCTAAGAAAAAAAGACATGGGGGGAGGGGAAAGGGGAGGGCATGTGCTGGGATGGGGGGAGCGGCCGGGGAGTGGTCCATGGGGGAAAAGGGAGAGTTATGTAATACTTTAAACAATAAAGAATTTAAATTAAAAAAAGAAAAGAATGATCAAAATGTTAAATGTCGGTGAAAACAAGGAAGATAAGGACTGAGGAAACTACTGTATCCGGTAGCTAGAAATTCACTAATGACTCAGCAAGACTAGTTTTACTGGACTGCTGGGGTCAGCAGTCTAGGTGAAGTGGAGGTACAGACTGGAGATGGAGACCAGCAGCAGAAGTGTTTGTTTTTGTTTTCTAAGGAAGACGTGTCTTGAGCATATTTGGGAGGGGAAAGGTCCTTGCAGAGAGTAAAACTGAGGATCTAGGGAGGAACGCAGAGAAGGATATTGAAAAGTCTGGGTAGAAGCTAAGCTTCAGGTAGGAAGAGACACACCAAGTTTCAGAGAACAGAGGAATGAGATAAGGATGGGTGTGACTCAAGGGTGGACAAGGTTTCTGTAAAGAGACAAACAGTAAATATTTTAGGCTTTGTGGGCCAGGCAGTCTTGTTACAACTACTCAACTCTGCTGCTCTATGTGGAAGGAGCCATAGGCAATACATAAATGGACAAACAAGGCTGTGCTCCAAAAATGCTATGACAATGAAATTTGAATTTCATGTCATTTTCGTGCATCATGAAATACTGTTCTTATTTTGATATTTTAAAATATAAAATACCAGCCCAGCCAAGTGTGGCTCAGCAGCTGAGAGGTTGAATGTTGACCCAGGAACCAAGAGGTGATGGGTTCGATTCCTGGTCAGGGCATATGCCCAGGTTGTGGGCTCAATCCCCGTTGGGGGCGTGCAGGAGGCAGCTGATCAATGATTCTTTCATCACTGATGTTTCTAGCTCTCTCTTCCTCTCCTTTCTTCTCTGAAATCAATAAAATAATTCAAAATAAGTAAATAAATAAAATGTAAAAAACATTTTACAAAAACAGGCATCTGTATGGATCTGGTCTATGGGCCACAGTTTGCCAACCCCTAAAACCAGTGGGGGTGGGGGGATGAGGGGCCCTGACTCCTCCCATCTCCCCTCCCACTCCTCTCTCATCTATCCAACCTTCAATACGATCTTGCACAAGTCTGGATTCCTCAGGCAAGTGCTCTCACTTATTCATTCCTGACCCTTCCCACTGCCACCAGGGAGGTGCTGCACAAACATCTGTTGCGCTGAATCACTGGCCCAGCAGTCCAGGCGTTCTCGTGTCTCGGAGCCTGGCTTGGAGGCCTCCTGCTGCCAGGTTTATTCTGAAACTGTTCTACACATGCCATCACTCTGCTCAAACAATAAATCCAATTCCTGAGCCTGACAGTCAAGATCCTTTGTAGGTTCTCTTCCGTCTTCTATTGCATTACTCCAGTACAAAGTAGGCTCTGTCTCGGCCTACAGGCAGCAGCACACCCTTCCCCAAAGGCAACACTGCATTTCCACTTCTCTGCCTTTGCTTTCTCCTTTTTCTCTACTGGAAATGGCTAGTTCCTTTCTTCTCTGCTTTTCTGAGTCTCTCTCTTCAATTCAAGCTTTACTACCTACCTCCAAAGCCCTCATGGGATGTTAATTATCCCATGTCTAAGTGACAGTGCCCTTCTCTTAATTCAAATATTCAACTATACCAATCATTGAACACTTATTGATTATCCACTCAAACATATATCTTGACTTCCCATCAAGGCTAAAAATCTCTTTGGTGTTGCCAGATAGAGATTTCAAAATAACCACTGACCAGGAAAGAGAAAAGGGCTGTGAGTGCTGCAATCAAGGAGTCTGCATGTCCCAATCGTAAAGCCAATGACAAGGACGAAAGATAAGAGCAGAATTTCATTCTTAAGATGCTGCAACAGCTGATA